CCCAACAAGACAAAACATGAAAAGGAGGAGCACTGCAAAAATCCACTGGCTCTACAAGGCAGGGTCCTTATCAAAACCACAACTCCCCAAAGCTCCCCAAGAATTTATTTCCCGTCCCCACGACACCAATCAAACCCAGCCCCCCCAGTCACAATTTGTCCAACCACCCAAAGGGGCCTACCTCAATAAACCCTTACTTGGGATTTTTTCCACGATCCGAATATGTTCAAAAAAAAAAAAAAAATTTACTTAGTCCTTTCTAAATCTAAATTTACTAACTTAAATACTTTTATTTTTGTTTTATTTGGTTCGACACCTCATATTTTATTAATTCACCTTTGTAAAAGTTGGTAGAAATTTACCGAAAATATGTAAAGTAAAAGGACCAATGAAACAATGTGACATTTATTGTGGCAACGTTTCCTCTCCAGGAGTTTTATCAACCCAGGCTTTGTAAAGCTCCTGAGAGCGAAACGTTGCCACAATAAATGTCACATTAGTTGCACTTGTGTCCTTTTATTTAAATATACCTTTTTTTATGCCCACATCCACTTTTACATTTCTGAAAAATCCCCTTTTTCTACTTTCCCAAGAGGAAGTTTCAAGCTCATCTTCATACGGGAGATTCCTTATACAGAAAACCCATTTTAGTGATTCTTCTCTAGCTCCAATGAATCTATATCCATCCTGAAAAGGAACAAAACAGAGGGATAATCCAAATGAGGCTTCATGGATGTATAGAGCCCGTTTAAAATAACTTTTTTGGGCTTTGTTACTTTTAGAAGAATCGGCAAGCGGGGCAAGATACCCCCAGGAAAAGTAGGGGTGCCATGAGTACCCAAAGAGAATACAGTGTCAGAGGGCCCCCAAAACGTTAACTGCTTCCCAGCAGACATAAGGAGAATTCCAAAGCCCCAAACCCGTATTCAAAAGGGACTGGACAGACACCTAAAACTGTACCCGCCAACGGGCTGTGGTTCAACGTTGGTTACTGCGCCCCAGTAACAGCCTGGATGATCATCGTGATCCACCACGAGGCCCCCGGGGCTAGACCGGGCCGCGGAGGCGTTCACCCCTGGAACATGTTCCAGGATACTCCAATCACCTAAGCATGATTTTAATATATGAACTTTTGAGATCACGGAATTTAAAATAAGGGGTTCTTATAAAGCTTAGAAATGAGCATTGGGGCTAATGTAACTTGTACCCCCCAAGGAACTAAATAAAAATATCAATCAATTATTTTTAAAAAACCACAAAAATAAATACTATATACAATTGTAATGAAATTTTAGCTAAAACCTATAACAAACTTTTAAAATATTTTTACATTACCGTATTTTTTTCTATTAGCAAACCCGGGATGTTATATAAAAGCTTAAAAATGTCCGTAAAAAAATTTTTTTAAAAAATTTAACTCCCTAATATGCCCAAAAAACCTTTGGTTTTGCAAGCAAAATAATTTGGGGGGGGGGGGGGGGGGGGGGGGGGGGGGGAACAAAACACAACATAAATTTAATTTAAGATGGGAAAAAAAATGATACATTCCCCCTTTTTGGGTTAAACCTGATTACCTGCCATTTCCCCCAAAAAACTATGACTATGCCCCCCACGGGGGCATTTTTGAAATCCGAAATGACCACAAATCTTGTCATATATAACAAACACCGCCCAAATGGGGGCTGAACTCCGGGAATGCAGTCGTAAAACTCCGGTTTTTTCGCGCTGGGCCGGAGTTTTACGACTCACTTTCCCCGGCTCAATCCCCCCCATACCTAAAGGGTGTAATATGAGGGAGTTATGAAAGTTGACCATAACCGATTCCTAAAAACGCCAAAGCTGGTTTTCTTTTGTAATGACATTATTTGTACAGAGTAGAAACGCAACATAACGAAAAACCCTTTAAAAAAGACTTTGCTCCGCTAGGGTAGATACGGGATTAGTGGGGCCTTTTTCATTTGATTAGTCTTTGTGGGCGTTCAAGTAATTTGGGCCAAAAGGTCAATACCAAGTATAAACTGGGCCCCTTGACGGGCACGTCCCAAAATGTATTTTTCATATTAACCCCCCCCCCCCAAAAAAAAAAAAAAAGCACATAAACCACTAGTAAAAGTTGGGGAAAAAACTGATATTTTCCGAAAAACAGTATTTTTTATGTAAATAGATGGGCCCAAATGTATTTAATAAAATGTCATAAAAACAGAAAGCCTGTGTCGCCAGACGGGACTCTCCATCTTTGGGGTTTTTAATTTGTATTAAAACGTGTAATGGGAAGAATTTTTCGTGCTCTAGAGGTTAAAATTGGGGTTGAAACCTCTCAAATAGGAGGGGGAAATTTTTTTGGACATGCATTCCTCATAACTTGAATATCGACGATGGACAAGACAGCTCCAGGGGAAACCCCAGATAAGTCTTAGATTTGGTATTTCTGGCCATGTTTTCATAAAATTTAGTTAAGTGAGGGTTTTCTGATTTTGATACAACATAATTCCCCTCAAATTGGCGAGTGAATTAAGAATTTTTCCTTCATTTTATAGGAATTTTTATAAATTTTTTTAAAAATAAACCCCAAATTTATATATTTACCAGATTCCTGTGTATGTATATTTCATTTAATAATAGGTTTCCCAAACAACTTGGGTTTTTGACAGGGGTAGGGATCGAAGGGGGACATTTTTTGCACTTAGGGGTCCCCAAAATTTCCCACTTGTCTAACTGATAAATAATAATATCTTTGTTTATTTACTGTTTTTGTATATAAGAAAATTCAGCTAAATGCAATTTTCCACAACAGCTTGCATTTTAATACAGAAGATAATGCCTGATTTCTCAAAAACCGGATCTTTATATTGTCCAAAAAAAATAAGTGCCATGGGAAGGGGGAATGCACTAAGTGGAAATTACAAATGACTTTTTTTAAACCCACTTCTTTTCCCTTGTGTTGGCACGTTTGGGCCCGTATTTTTTTTACTCCCAAATTTTCACAAAAACAACAACCACCCACAAAACACAACAAAAAACACTTCTATTACCACAACATCCGCGGTTGATGGAGTACGACCAAAAAAAATTTAAGGCGGTAACTGCCCCCTGACTAAATTCACCCACCCAAACTTGATTCCTGCGACATCTGGGGATTTTTTTGTTAGGTTGAAAGCCATTACTGTATGGGGCGTTAGTTGCTTTATTTACCTGTACACATCAAAACCTTTTATCCCAAAAACAAAATCAAAGTGAACCCTTGGTGATATAAATCCCCGACTGCTCTTATTATATATATATATAAAAAAAAAAAACTGATTTCCTAAACAGTTTCCCCTTTTTAAGGGCGGCTCAAAGGTTATGCAGTTAGATTTCTAAACAAAATAAGTTGTACTTTACCAAATAAATTAGTGAATTATTTTAAAATTTCTATTTTAAAGTGGGGGAAGGGTAAGCACAGGGCTCATAGAACGCCCCGGGGGGGTTTTTATTTTATTTAATCAAGGGGGGAACGCTAAACCCGGGGGATTATACAGCGCCTGGGGGGGGGATTGGAAGGGATTCAGGCTTAAATTTGGGAACTGGGGCACAGATCCAATTTTCCCCAAATCAAGAGCCCCCCCACCAACATCAAGGACCCTGGGGGGGAAAGGAAACATTTGGCTTGTTTTTTGAGGGAAGTGAACAAAACCCTCCCGCAAAAATTGATTTAAAAATCGCGTCACACACTAAATAAAGCTGGTTGTCAATAAGTGAAAGAAAAAAATTTGGAGTAAAAATTTTTTTAAAATTAGCGATGAAAACCATATGAAATTTTGAAGCAGTTTTTTCAGATGTCGACTATTGCCCGGTGTAACTTATCCAATATTTTTAAAATTGGTGTTCTCGCCTAGTCTTTACCACTCGAAATCTACGAATTAAAAAAAGGATTTAACAGCATCCAACCTGTCTCTCTGGATGGGTCAGACAAAAAAGTTTAAGTCATCAACGATATAATCCCGTCTGGCAAGGTAAACTTGTTTTTTTAATTTTTGGCTTTAACACCAAATAATACTTTAAAACTTTTTAAAAGTTTTCATATATGTATGTTTAGGTACTTACTCTTGTTACAAAACGATTTTAATGACTTATTTCATATATAAAAATTAATGCTTCAGAATATTCATACTAAACTAAAAATAATGGAGGTTTATTTCATACTCGTTTTCATAACTAGGCATTATGATTCAAATGTTATACTATATAATCAGAATGTTAGGTGTTAGTTTTATAACTATGTATTTCACTCTAAGTGAAAAGCCACTACAAGCGTGAATTGTTGCACACACACACACACAGATGGATGTATTTTAGCAGCACATAGGTCATTAATGTTTAATACACTAAAATGTACAAATCTTGCCTGATATGTAATGTGCCGAACACATCTGTATGTTATCGATATTTTTTTTTTTCCCCCTCAATTATAAACGTGATAACCGCACCTGTCTTCTTTCCTCCGATAACATTTCACAAGATTAACCTTTTTTTCAGTTTAGGGAGTCTATAATACTTTAAATGTGACTCATGATTGAACCTATTATAAAAACCAATAACTCGACAACAGCCCAGACTATACTGTTTTTGTGTTCAAAACAAATTAACCAAATTATTAAAAATAATTGGTAAAAATCTCAAACTTCTAAGCATGTGTAATAATAGATGTAACCAACAAGGCCGACCCAGAAATTTGTGACGTCACGTGAAAGCTTTTAATCAGTTGTTATAGAACCACAGATCATTTTATGCGTCCACATATCCATTTTCCTTTTAACAGACTGCAGATTTTCAATGCTATTAAAACCCCCCCCCCCCCCAAAAAAAAAAAAAAAAAAGCATAACTCATTAAGGTTATATAGCGCTTGAATTTGTATGACTTCACAATTTAAGCCAAAGAATATGGCACGCTCTTGATCCAAGGGCTGTGCTTGGCAGACACTAGCCAATACACAAGCAATTCCCCGACCATGATGGTGCTTTAGTGCCTCTATTTTAATAAAGGAATGTGCTAAACTCAGAGGCAATATAGTGCCTGGAAAATGAAGGAACGAGGTTCAATCCAGAGGATAAATCTAGTTCCTTCAATCAAGAGCCTCTCACTGGCATCAAGGATTATTATTAGTCAAGGTAGTGCTAAACAAGAGGTCATACAGCACCAGGGAAATGGGTGGCATTCAGGTTCGATCCAAGAGGGCACATACAATTCTTTGGATCAAGAGCCCCTCGCCGGCAGCATGGAACCTCCTGCGAGAGGTCAAGGAATAGAAAGTGGGAAGAATCATGGCAAACATTAGTAAGTCAATCTTATCTTGCATTTTCTCCAAATGAGTTTGTGGTTTAGTTGAAACTTTAGTTTTATAATTCAAGAGGTGGTAAACCTGCATATGGAAGATAATCATATTTGACTATTTCTTATAACTGACATACTGTATATACAGTAGACTGTCGTTTAACACGGTACTTATTCCTAAAAATGCCGTTAGACAAAACCGTGTTAGACAAACTGAATAACTTGTGGGGAAAATAGGGTTGTTCCTGGGAGCCCCCAAAAAGCCAAACAACTTTTTTGCAGACCTCCAGATCTTAGGAAATAAAAGTGAATATGTAATTGTAGTGCATTGTCGTGATATATTACTGCTTAAGACTACAAATGCAATAGAAATAATAGTATTTCTTACCTAAAATTGTTGGTAATTGTTTGTGGATGATTTGTGAAGAGAGTGGATATGGATGGTGTGGCCCTACTTGGCCGAGGTGGATGGTAGAGGTTCTGGTACTGAAGTACAGTATATGGTTGTATTGGAGTGTGCATAAATTCTGTAACAAATCTCTGGGCTTTTTACCCTGCAGTACATTATACAACTGACGGTAAGACATCATCAGCTGGTCTAGATTTAACAAATGGCAATGAAAATAAGAAAATATGTATGTAAATAAACACAGCGAGCTTCCAGGGTATTGTCGTCCTACACGCGTATGAGCCAAACTGAAGGCTCGGAGGGTGGTGTGGGTGGCAGGGGATGGCAATAGGTCTCCCCTGTTGACACAGTGGTGTAACCCACTAACCCACAGACCATCCTGCCCTACGGGTGACCGGGCGCTCAAAATTTTTTACCCTCACGCAACTGTACTAAACTAATTTTACAAAGTGTTAAACAAAAATATGCCTCAATTCTTCAATCGTGCTATAACAAAAATGTGCAAGACAAAATCGTGTTTAACGAGTCTACTGTTACTGTGGCGAATAATAAAACTGCCATTTTATTTACTTCATGACATTCATGCAAAGGTAAATTCGAAACTTCTAAAAGGGTTGTATTGTTAAAGCCACGAGGTGTTTAACCAAATGGTAATACAGCACCTGCTCACGAATGAGAGAATTATTTTTGTTTTTCAAAGGAGAGTAATTCAAATTCCTTGAATCGAGAGCCCTTCCCCCTTGAAGGGATCTTAAGGAACGAGTTAACAGCCTGATGGTCAATCTAATTTATTCAAGTTTTATATAGTGTATGGCATAAGAGGTAGATGCCATGGTTGGTTGCTTCGTTTAATTCAGTTTATCAACTGTATATGAGTAACTGGTGTTACATTTCACCTGCACACCAAAAAAAAATTATTTTGTATAATGAGGATTTACTCTTAACAGATACACACTTCTGGTTTAAACATTCTGCTGCACTATAATGTAACCCAGTTCACTCTCCATGAAATCTAGATTCAAACTTTCACCTTTAGAGCTTACACTCTTAGTGTTATCCATGCCTACTTACCTCTTAAAATGTTGGTTATTCATATGAACATTGTCCACAATGACTGTTTAACAGCATACCTACAAGAAAATCCAACTTCTAATTTTGAAGTCACATACAGTTGTTAGCCATTTAATGCAACTTCTTCAGCATGAAGAACACTTCAACTTTAAATCTAAGATTCCAGCTTTAGTTCTTTTCCTTCAGTAAGTTCACAGACACTGCAAATAGCCTTAATATATTACATCTTCTGTTACTTGTATTAGAATTTCATTACAAAATTTCTTTATGGCATTTTCTCAAATTACTCAATTACCAGTGACTTTATTCTAAAGTGACTGTCACCCCTGTAAAAAAGTTTGCCTATAGGAATAAAAAATGGCAAAATAACATTTGGTAAGAGAAACCTCTAAAAAATTTCTCCTTTTTTTTGTCTTTATTGGACAATTGAAAATTTGTGGTAAAATGACACATCCTTAAATAGAAGACTGCTCCACTGGGGCATTACAATACGACTCCAGTCAGTCCATCACATCAGACAGGGGCAACCAATGAGTGTGTTCAATAGTTGGCTTTATTAGTATTATTTATCAGTACAAGAAAATATACAATAAGGTAATCATATAAACCTTAGGCTTATGTCTAGCTACAATAAGATACAAATCACCGTTATAATCTAATTTGGAATATGATGAGAGAAGGGAGAAAAGATATAATGTTATTTAGTGACTTCTATTGCACTGCTTGTTTGTTTTGACATTCGGAATAGGGTTGACTTTACTTTTTAATATATATATCTATATATGACGGAAGCACAATGTAATTGGAATAGACCAAAAACATACATACGTAGTAGGAACGTTATTTTTCACTGAAATAAGTGACATAGAAAAGATGCCATCTATCTGTCTGTAATTTAATACATTCAAGTTGGGGGTCTCTTATGTTCTTTGTACTTGAAAGCATCCTGTTTAATAGTCAAATGTGTATCACTTATAAAGACAAGGGATGATGAACTATATAAGGTTTTCCATAGTGTTCCAAGTTCAAAGTGAAGGAACTGGATAAAGAGACACACAAACACACAATATGGAGAGTGATGTAGGTAACACTGAGAGAAAGGAGGGTGGAAGGCAAGGAAGCCAGTTGACGATTCTGTCCACCAGCATAAGAGTGATCCTTACTTTCTGTTGCTCATAAGAACTGTATATGTTCTTGTAAATGCAAATGGTTAATTTTAAATACAAAATAACTGTTTATAATTTGTTCACAGTATATACATATACATTAGACATTCTTTTAAAAACATGCTTTGTTTTAATTACATTTATAAAATTCCTTATATGAAATGTTACAGCCCGGACAGAACCGCAAAATCTGGCACCAAAGTGAGGGGTCTAGGCCCGTGCTCAGTTTTCAGTTTTTCAAAATTTACTTTTTTTTTTCCTCTCCATATGAAAGCAGAGATTTGTGAGCATTTGTAGCGAGATCATAAAAACTGCACAAGCCTATACACCACAGTAAAGTCAAAGATCGGACATTAATAGGAAAAAATCTAGGTCTAGTTTAGGCTACTACGGAATAATAAAATGGAATACCATATTTTGGAGGGAAATGTCGAGAGAGCAAATGGGACAAAAAATAAATTTCTCCGCGCAGTCATGGACATGTAAGGGATCTTTCTTATATCACACATTGAAAGTCACTTCTAGCAGCTACGTTGGAATGCTTATTGAGAATGCAAACATCTTTCGTTTTACCATCCACAGAACTTTAAACGCATTCTTTGCGCTCAATGTGTGTATATGTATGTTACAATATATACGTACGTGCATGTGTGTGTGTGTGTGTGTGTGTGTGTGTGTCTGTGTATGTGTCTGTGTGTATGTATGTATGTATGTATGTATGTATGTATGTATGTATGTATGTATGTATGTATGTGTGTGTGTATATGTGTATGTACGTATGTATGTACTCACCTATTTGTGGTTGCAGGGGTTAAGTCATAGCTCCTGGCCCTGCCTCTTCACTGATTGTTACTAGGTCCTCTCTCTCCCTGCTCCATGAGCTTTATCAAACCTCATCTTAAAACTATGTATGGTTCCCGCCTCCACTACATCACTTTCTAGGCTATTCCACTGCCTGACTACTCTATGACTGAAGAAATACTTCCTAACATCCCTTTGATTCATCTGAGTCTTCAACTTCCAATTGTGACCTCTTGTTTCTGTGTCCCATCTCTGGAACATCCCGTCTTTGTCCACCTTGTCTATTCCGCGTAGTATTTATGTCGTTATCATGTCTCCCCTGACCCTCCTGTCCTCCAGTGTCATCAGGCTGATTTCCCTTAACCTTTCTTTGTAGGACATTCCCCTTAGCTCTGTGTGTATGTATGTGTGTGTGTGTGTGTGTGTATGTATGTGTATATGTATGTGTATATGTATGTGTATATGTATGTGTATATGTATGTGTATATGTATGTGTATATGTATGTATCCCCTTAGCTGTGTATGTATGTGTATATGTATAATTATACTGTACATATAAATACATGCATATACACACAGTGAGATTCCACAGAGATATGAAAAGGCACGACACCGTTCAAACATGATGGCCCTGTTGTCATGCTGTCCGTTGCAGTCACAGCGCCATTTCCAATTAAAATGTACTTACTTCCTAAAAATGGTTATGGATGAACAAACAGCAAAGGGGAATGTAATGAATGCAAACCTCCTTGCTATTGGTGCTCACTTAGCCAATCAAATTCCAGAGTTCCCCGAAGAGTACAGAGACCAAAGTGAAGCCACCAATCAGGAGACGAGAGAGAACAGGATTATTGGGTGAAATATAGGAATGCTATTGGCCGGGTGGGGGTCACGTGACAATAGGATGGTGATTAGTTGAGGATGAACACCGCAAGAAAGCCCCTGACTTGTATGAAAGATGGCAATCTGAGGCCACCTGTGTGGAGCCCTCTCACGGTGAACTTGTGTGGGACTCTAAAGGAAGTGAGGAGGTGAAAGACTTTGACTGGGAGCCTTAGTGGTCGACGCTGCCAGTTAGTCACCTGTCATGGACGTTACTCTGTGTATAGCCTTGGGCCCGGCTCAGGGTGATATGGAAGCACTCTGGTACACTATTGTGGTGAAGTACGGTCTCTATACAAAATAAATTTGCATATGTATACTTGATAAAAATAAAATTCTAAATGTTATCCACATTCCTAACAAGATCCTATTAGAAATCTCCAGTAGTCATTTTGGCACAATCGTTGCTTACAACCAAGTTAAACTGGCATTTCGTTTGACAGTATAGAAAGTAGCAAGAAGAAATTATTTCCTGAAAGCTCAAAGATGCAAGATAATCAAGTGCCAATTGTAATAAGTCAACAGAAAACTAACTAGACTAGCAATATGACTAACAATGCAGCGGCAGACATGTTAAAGGATCATGCTGCCAGTACAGTACTTGAATAACCGAAGCAAAGAGGTACAAGAGAACTTTCAGAAATGTTCCAAAAATGATAGAACTACATAGCATGCCTTGGAAATCTAGAAAATAGAAAGATTGCACATGTTGAGATTATTTTGGACTAACAGTATGACATAACCAGCCACAATGGACCTTTACAGAAAGTTTATATTTTGTCTTTCAGTTAAGCAATAAATTTTACACTAATTTGTCAAGGGCCAGGGTAGCTGATAGTGTCACTAATAAGGATGGCACGAGGCACGAGGGATCCACTAGTACTAGACGCTGGGAATCGTGTATGGTTCCTAGTACGCTTATGGAAGACAGTGGATTTATCAGCGGAATACCTGCTCATCTTCTTAATTCACCACAGTGTTGCCCACTACTCTTCAGAAACTACTTTCTTTTAGGAGTGCTTAACAGATAATATCATTAATTGCAAACCTCCAGGCTACTAAAAGAAAGTGAAACATAAAAAATATTTCATAATAATATATTCCTTCTACAATATTAATACAAATTCATCTCTCAAATATAAATATACTCTTTCTTGGCAACACTGCTTCTCCATGTGGCAATACACTCTGACACTACACTTGAGTATTGGACAGGTACTGGCTGGAGGTGTAAGGGCCTAACCCGCCTTGGTTCAACGCCTAGCTATCATAACTACAGAACTATGAGAAAGACAGAGATAGAGAAAGATAGGGACCAAGAAGTGGCTGTCCCATTCCCAGGTTCCAGCCTTACGGACCCCTTAAAAAGTTTTCTTAAGTGAAGATAAAAGTGATTGGCACATGCGAATTCACGTTAATTCTATTCAAAAGTAAATATAATAATAATCATTTTAAATAACAAAGAAACACTGCATAGTATGTCCAGGTAAATCTAGCAATGTAAGTAGCACATCACTCGACATATTGCACACCAAGCATGCAGGCTTCCTTCTTTACAATATGTCAAGTATAAGAAACATCAAATACTTTAAAGTCTTCATCACTGATTTTGATCATAGACATGCCACTGCAAGTCACTTTTTTATTTATTTAATTTTATAGGAATTTTTCTTAACATCTGTTCGTTGTCACACATTCTTTGCATCACAATACAGTATTTAACTTGCTTAATCCATGAAGTTTTTCACAGATTTACGCCACAACTTCTTCTTTTACAGTAGTAGGTGTGGTCTCGAGGGCTTCAAGGGGCATGGCAGGCGAGGAGTTTGCAGACGACTCTTCTACTAAGGAGACAAGGGATGGGATGACTGGTGTTGTATGGAGTGAATCAGCTGTGGCAGTAACAATGACAGACACACCTTCCCCAGAACTACTAATAATACCAACGCCACTATCAGATGGTGAGGGGACGGGAGTGGATGACTCTGAATGATGGGCAGTGCCATCAGGATGATAGGGCTTGCAATATGAATAACGATGGTTCATATGCTGAGAGTAGGAGCCTGAGTGAGAGAACCTCTTGAGACACTTGTGGCACTGGTAAGGTTTCTCTCCTGTATGAAGTCGGCTGTGCTCAGTTAGATGGTGCTTGTGCTTAAATGCTTTGGGGCAGAGATCACACTTGAATGGGCGCTGGCCTGTAAAATATTTTGACCATCATATATATACACATTTATTTCAGATTTATTTTTCCCAGATTGTGACAATTCTTCCAAATTAAGGCATCAATCGTAAAATAATCTCACTCATTCAATTCAAAATTATATGAAATAGTCGAATCTCTTATTATGACATTGCTGCAATTTGTAAATGCAAAACAATTCGATAAAAACGCAAGTGGATATTGACATTCACCTCACCTGAGTGCTCGTACTTGTGGCGGGCAAGGGATGATTGCTTATTAAAGGACTTGTCACACTGGTCACACTGAAAAATGCCACCCTCCTCATCACGACGTCTTTTGCGACTTTCATCACCACTATCATCATCCTGCAAGTAAAAAAAAAGTTATATATAGGATTAATTATAAATTATTCATATAATTGAATATTGCAACCCCAAACAAACTGAATGGAATATGTAAACTGTGAGCATTTCGTCTATCATCATTTTGGATCACCTACCATGGTGAGAGATGGCTGGTGTTAAAAATGTAAATTACACAACATTTCTAAGCACTGTTAAGTATTAAAACAGATAAAAACTACAGGTACAGTAAATAGTTAACAATGAGCACCACATGAGTGATCCCAACTTACCCTCGGTCGCTTATCACTAGAATCCATGTGGTCAGGGTACAATGCTGGCAAGCCAAGTTTTGCCCCATGGAGAATCTGTGCCAACTTGCAATGTTGTTCAGAGATCATAGAGGGCAAACCAGTCACAGTTAGTCCACTTGATTCTTTTGGTTCTGCTATATTATTATTGAGAGAATTGGGTGTAGGTGTGCGAGATTCAGATTTGTAAGAGATCGCCAATGAAGTGGAATCTGCATCTGAATCAGAATAAACAGAAGCAGGCTTTGGCGATGCTGATGGGGACGATTTTTTAGTGGAGAGATCAAGAGGTTGGTCATCATCGTTGTCATCTGCTCCATCAGAATGTATTGGTGAATCACGACCATTCTGAAGTGGGTAGACCTGACGTGGTGCCCCCATCAAGGACGGGTAATAGGGGCTAATGCTTAAGGCCTTGGAATTAGCCTGAGAGGTGGGCGGAGCACAGGTGGTAGAAGCATAGCTTGGAGGTGTATAGCTGGAAGTGGTGTGGCTAGGATTACTGTAACTTGAGGTGTAACTGGCCTGGGAGTACGTTGGAGTTGGGGTAATGGAACGACCCTCACGACGGTCACGGGCTCGAGCATTCTGGAACCACACCTGTACTACTCGAACCGGAAAACCAATCTTTTCAGCAATGTTAAGCAATTCTTCTTTCTTGGGTCGGGGGTTAATGGCATAATGAGCACGCAAGACCACGAGCTGCTCCTCACGGATATGAGAACGTACACGAACCTTCTTTCCATCACTGGTGGTCTCTTCATCATCTACAATATGGCCAGAATCAGCATCTCTCTCCTCATCCCTGTTCAAAATAACCCTACTGTGCACATACTGGGAGTGAGGTGTGTACAGAGATTGCTGTTGTCTTTGCTGTTGGTGGTGTTGAGGCTTTTGGTTTTCTGCCAACTCATGTAGCCTTGCTGCCAGGCCCTCAATTAGATGTCCCTTTGCAGAGGTAACCTCAGGAAGACGTGGACACTGGCGACAGGCATGAAGAAAGGCTTCACTGTGGTTTCTGAAGATATTGCCACACAGCCTACAAGAAAGATCATCAGCTATGGCTGCAGAATTCAGTGCAAAGCCCTGCGAAACTGATGATACTGTTTCCTCAAACTGATGTTTTGTGACACTTGTGTTTACACTTTCTAACATTTTCTTCAGTGTGGACATGCCTTCCTTATCACTGCAAACTGGAGCTTCATCCTTTTCTTCTTGTGCACTTTCTTCATGCTCTAGTTCTCTTTCTTCTTCCTCGTCTCTTGTCTCTTCCTTGATGACGAGTTCACCTGGCTCTCTGTCATCATCATCAACATCTTCCTGTGGTGCATCTTCACTGTGATCCTTTTCTTCATTGCCTTCCTGCTGAGCTTTGTTGAGTGCTGCCTGGGTCATAGTAAGAGACAGCAGTGATGAATACTGAGGGTGCAGCTGTGCAGCCAATATGAGGGAATTGAAAGGGTGGTAGGGTGAAAGGCTCTGATGTAGATTGCCTGGAAGACCTTGAGGTAAACCCTGGTGAAATCCCTGTGGTAGACCTGCAGTCAGACTGGAACTGCTGAGCCCACTTGGAGACACAAGTGATGGAGGAGACATGAGGAGGGAGTCCCTGGAAATGGGGCGTGTAGGGGAAGAGTAGCCAAGATCTGCTGAAGGGGTCGGAGACTTGTCTTTGGGTAGGATTGGCAAATAAGATCCATTAAGAAGTGGCCGCTTGGTATGGGGCCCTGGAAACTGTTGAGATGTACGTGGCATCAGCCCATTGGTCCTGCCACGTCCAAGCTGGAAAAAAATATTAAAAGTTATCTTATTAAGCTGAAAGATTATGAATGCATGATAATTTAGTGGTGCAATACTAATTTCTTTTATACTTGTTTATATTATTTTAGCTAGAGCCTACTGTACAAAGGTTCTTATGGTTAAGCATCTATGAGCTAAGAAGATCTTTACATAGCACTCTTGCCATACACACTATTTCACACAAACTTCAAGCATACTATTTCACATACACTACAAGGATACTATTTCACACACACACTTCAAGTATACTATTTTGCACACATTACTCTCTGTATTTTTCTTGGGACATATACAAATAATGTGCACTTTTCGGTGTCCTGTAGCTTGATTGCCAGTGCACTCAGCTCACACACTGAGGTCCGGAGTTCGAATCTCCTCCAGTACGGCTGGAAAACATTAGGGATGTGTGTCCATAAGACACCTGCTGTCCCTGTTCACCCATCAGTTTAAAATGGGTACCTGGGTGTTAGTTGAGTGGTGTGGGTCGCATCCTGGGACAAAACTGACCTAATTTGCCCGAAATGCTCAGCATAACAAGGGACTTTCTATATAGTAGTACTGGATGTCATTGATGTCAGCTAGGCCTGTATACCATGTACATGTACTTGTAGTAAATAAGGATATTATTATTATTCACGCTTTCACATGTGTCACATAAGACACTATGCTGCATTCTACCTCCAATATTTATCACAACCCTGCCATAGTTTAGTTTCTTTAATGCTTGCATAATCTCTTAACTGTCATCTTCCTATACTTATTTTCTCATACACATGTTGACAATTCTGCCTCACCATTATCCCTGAAAATACCTTCTAAACTTTATTTCTCACTAATTCCAATTGGCTAAATTTCAATTCACTTGCCTGTAATGCTGCTATTCCTTAACCATTTTATACTGAGAATTTTGCTTATTAGGCAGGCATTTTTTGTCAGTGCATTGTTGCGATATTTTGTGTAACAGAATGAAGTCTTTAAAATAAAGAACAAGGTATGTGTGTGAAATTCTGTTCCAAGCTTGGTACAACAGCTGGTGATATATCTTTGAAGAGTTACGGTAGTTTTTCTATTCCCAGAACCCGGCCTTGGGCCAGTTCACGTGGTAGTTGCCTGGTCAAAAAGGCTACTGCTGCTGGTGGCCCGATGATCCACATATCCACTACAGCCTGGATGATCTGGCACCTAGTAAAGATACTTTAACAAGCATTTGGACACAGCATTTTGAATGGTTTCCTCGATTCAAAACAGGATGAACATCAGTTGAAGATGATAACCACTCGGGTCTTCTATCAACATCAAAAACAAGACACCAATGTTGAAAAATGAAGAGGTTATTAATGAAGACCATCGTCAGAGTATCTAGAACATTGTAAGTGCTGTGGGAATTTTCCATGGGTCGTGTCAAAGCATTTTGACTGAAAATTTGAATATGTGGCAAGTGGCTGTGAAACTTGTGCCTCATTTGCTGACTCAAGACTAGAAAGACCATTTTCTGGCCAAAAACATGATGTTCATCCCCCACCTTCCCTACTCCCCAGATATAACCCCCTGAGATTCAAGCAGAATCATAGGCTTTGCTAAATGTCGTTAGGAAAGAAGAGTTCCAGAAATGTTTTGATAAGCGGCAGACTTGCTGGGATCAGTGTATAGCCACCCAAGGAGAGTACTTACAGGGAGACAACTTTAACTAGATGTTTAGGTAAGCATAGATATTTTTTTCGTAGCAGTCCAGGAACTTTTTGATAACACATGTATAATTAATGTAAGTAGAGGTTTTTACGATTTATGTATCATCTTATATGTTCATAAGACAAAGAAAAGATCAGCAATCCTGCCAGAATGGAAAAAAAAATTAATATGTTTCCATGTCCCACTTCTTTGATAGGATGGTAGTACCTTCCTGTAGGGTTGCTGTCTTCCAACCCACTTCCTCCAGATTTTTTATATAACAGTATAATGAGCACATTTACAGTGCAGAAGTATCAAGAAATCAATTTGCCAAAAAGACAGTGGATGGGTGAAAAAGACCATACTGCAAAACCAAATAAAACAGGATTCTCGCCAAAGTTAAGCAAAATATCCGAAATTTATTTATCACGTGTTTCAAGAACAAGTGGAATGGTGACAGCACTGTAGGCTTCAGCAGTTCAACCAAGCAAATATAAATACAGTGGACCCCCGGTTAACGAACTTTTTTCATTCCAGTAGTATGTTCAGGTGCCAGTACTGACCGAATTTTTTCCCATAAGGAATATTGTGAAGTAGATTAGTCCATTTCAGACCCCCAAACATACACGTACAAACGCACTTACATAAATACACTTACATAATTGGTCGCATTTGGAGGTGATCGTTAAGCGGGGGTCCACTGTATTTTAAAGTGTTTATATTATCTTTCATGCTGTCACTCTACTGAAAAAATATATATACATGTACTGTACTCAGTATACACTGACCTGTTACTAGCAATATACAGTCAAACCATTTCTCTCTCAACACACAACTGCATAACCACACAACTGTCACCAAAAACAAGATGTTCAGCTTTCCACACTTAACTTTCTTCACACAACATATGCACTTTTATTCCTCATACTTTAAAAATAATAGAGGCTAAAAATACAACAGGTATAATGAGCAAAATGTAAGACACAAATTACTACACTGTATTGTAACTATTCTTCACTGGAAAATAAAAAAAGACAATTTGACTATGTTTACCTGGCACTTTTTGGAGGACATGTGAGAAGAATAAGAGCCTGAGTGGGAGAACCTCTTGCCACAGTGCTCACATTCAAAAGGTTTTTCACCACTATGAATCCTCTTGTGTTCCTGCAAACAAGCACACAGTAAATATACTGTAAATACATTGTACAGAATTATTACTCTATAACATAGGTTTGCAATATTTTCTTCATCAAAAAAACTAACACCTAAATTGTTTGGTGTGTCTGCATTTATCAGTTTCATTATGCATTTTTACCAAATTTGTATTAATATAGACTAAATCAAGTCTACTAATTCCTAATGAAAACTGGTCGATGTTTCACTCTGTAAATGATCGACCAAAACTAAGTAAAGATGTTGTGAAAGATCCTAATAAGATCAAGGCAATTAAAGCTAAGGTACCTTTACCTTTCATCATCAAAGTCTGGGCAAATGATGTGTTTTGAAGATTTATGCACTTGGCAATGTACTGAAAGAGGCAACCATTAACAGAAATATAGCTGGACTTAGAGTACATGTTAGGGGATGTTGTGTATGAGGGGATTGATTACTGGCTATTGTATTCTTAAATTCTTTGCAACTTGAAAGTGGCCCATGATGGATCAAAACATCATCCAGTTTCCATTCCCAATTTGAGAACTTTTTGTGAATTATTAAATCTGCAGCATTGTTAATTTTTTTCTCTAATACAGACAAGGCACTATAAAACTGAGTACACATATTACTAGTTCCCAACATACATGAAACAACTGGTTAAACAATGCTGAAATACTAACAAAAAAAATCTCCATACAATTAAAATGTATAATCTTTCAAATATACCACCAGGGAATACACAGTTCCTAAGTAATAAGTATAGTACACTGTAGGTCCCTAAAATGCATGTGCAGCAAATCGAAAGAAAATTGAGATGCATAAATTGTGCATGCACGTGGTCATGCACACACTCTTATAAATAAAACACATCAACGATTATCTGGCGATCAGTTAGTTATGTATGCAGAATTATCCAGCAGTCTTGTTTATAGGAGCCTTAAACAGATCATGTAAAATGATATGTGCAAACTAAGGGAACCATGGAAAATCATGAGATAATCTGGTGTTTTTAAAAATCCTTTGCACCTTCTCTGCAAATACACCAAATAATTGATGATCTACTGTATAATATACCATATTGTAATAAATGAATAAATAAATAATGTATTTGCTTATTTTATTTTTAACAATGTCCATCTCCCACCTAGATAGGGTGACCCAACAAAGAAGAAAACACTTTCACTGTCACTCATTCAATCACTGTCTTGCCAGAGGGTGCCGACATCATAGTTCATATGACCCTTCACACTGAAATATCTCTACCTCTTCTTTGAAGTGCAAGAACTGTACTTCCCACCTCCAGGACTCAAGCCCAGCTAACTGGTTTCTCAGAGCCTCTTCATAAATGTTACCTTGCTCAGTCCAACAGCACTTAAAGCCATAAAAACCACTTGCCTCCACTCACTCATATATAAAACATTCACATAAGCGTGCTGTGTGTCGAAGACCTTAGAACTCAAAACTGCCTTTATCCTCTTCCTCCAACCTTTCCTAGGATGACCCCTACCCCTACCCAACCTTCCCTCCACCACAGATTTATATGCCCTTCTAGTCATCTTATTTCTCTCCAACCTTTCTAAATGCCCAAATCTCCTTACCAACCCTCTTCAGCCCTCTGAATAATAATCCTGCTAACTCCACACCTCCTCCTAATCTCCAAACTCCGAATTCTCTGCATAAAATTCACATGTTCTCAAACACAACATCTCTACTGCCTCCAGTCTCCTCATTGCAACATTCAAACCCATGCTCTACAACCATATAAGTGTTTGTACTGCTTACTCTGGTACATTTTCCTTTTTGCCTCCATGGATAAAGTTCTTTGTCTCCATAGATACCTCAGTGCACCATCCACCCTCTGCCAAGGCAGGGTGATCCCAAGATAACACATTCACCATCATTCATTCAATCACAGTATTGCCAGAAGTGGGCTGATATCACAATTCAGATTATCCTTTGACTGGAATATCCCTACCCCTTCTAAAACTCAGCCTTCTTAACCCCTTTACCGACTCATATACTTATAATGAATGCTTTTAAAGAGCATTAACAGAAATCATAACAAAACTCTTCTCATTTACAAATGCATACACAGTACATAATAACCAAATATTATTTTTTTAGCCCCTAAGATATTTATTACCTATAAAAATAATGAAAATCTTATTTCCTTAATGACAAGGTGTTTACGCGGGCTGCCACATAAGAGTAGTGACGGATGCAGGCATGATAAGGCCACCGCCTGAAGGGACAGGAAACTCCAAATGATACCAAAGTAGGTGCACACATCTCCCTCCTTCATCCCTAACGTATTATCACCCATTACAAATAATGCAACCCACTTCTTTCCTTCTCTTATTCCCCATTTCTGAATCTCAAGTATGGTAATATTTTATTTGAAAATAATTATACAATACTAATGCAAGATCATGAGCAATATGAGGTGCAGGAGCTAAACCAATAACATCCTGTCTACCAGGTAATTATGGTATGGTAGTGAAGCTCTGCTGCTCTAGCTAGCTAACTCACTCACTATATATGTTTACTCTGCCAACAGGCAATAAGATTAAGTAAGGCAGGTACGTGGATGGTCTTTAAAAAAATATGCAAACTAAGCTATTCAAGCTGGAAATTTTGGGGATCTCACTACAAATGGTAGACAAACAAAAAAATGGTAAACATTGTGCAAATATTCGAAAGGAACACTATAGAACACTCAATGACAAGAAATGTATTGTGATAATACTGGAAAAGGCCATTAAAAAAAGGGGGATAAAGCACTTGTGGAGGAAGTAATAAATTTGGTTTTTGACCAGAAACTTTCTGTACAGTACAGTACACTAAGTCAAATAGGAGTTTACTATGATAGTCACAGAAAATGTTCAAGAAATAAATGGATGAACTGACTGCATTCATTTAGATTTTAATATGCTTTTATGCAAACAACATGAAGAACTGAATCCCCGTAGAAAGATCCAAATACGATGGTACCCTGAGTTTCATACAGCTCCCAACTCGAACAATTATCTAAGTGTATTATTGCAAGTGTATTTTTGGGGGTCTGAAATGGACTGATCTAATTTACATTATCCCTTATGGGAACAAATTTGTTTCGTAATGGCACTTGAACAGCGTTCTGGAACGAATTATGACCAAAACTCGGGCTACCACTGTAGTCTGGATTAAGTAAAGACAGATGGACTACTGAATTTCATGTGGATAATAGAAATGGGCAAAAGCCAAAATAAACCACATGAAGAATATAGTGTGTAAAAATTACAAGCATCGGACAAAAAAAGTGACACTGGGGTCATCACTGACAGAAGATTTCTATTGAATTATTACAGTGAGAAAATTGTACAACTTATATACAATACATGCCAGCTTTAAAACAGCATTTAGATATATGTATAAGGGAAATGTTATATGGTCTCAATATATGACAAACCAAAACTGGAGTACATAGGCAGCAGTGGTATGGTGTCTAAGCCTAAAAAAAAACAATTAAAACCTAGAAAAATTACAGAAATGCTCTACAAAATGGCTTCCATGTTAAAAAAAAAAGTTACAATAAAGACAAAAAGCATTAGACATGCCATTTTTAGCAGACAGAAGGAAAAGAGGAGACATGATAACCATGTACATGTATTGCACATGATTATGAAAGGATATGAAAACACTGATAAGAAAGATTCCCTAACACCATTAAAAGCTATAAATTAAGAATAAAGAAGTGCCAGAAGGATGCTAGGAAGCTTTTTGCAAACAGTGTGACAAAAATATTTAATATACACATACAACTACTTCAGGTATATATATGCAACAAAAAATCTTCTATAGTCTCTTTATTTAAATTACAGACCAATGAAAATTCTAAAAATTGCTTCCACAAATTATCTACTGATAAGCCTCCTACTATTCCCATCTCACACAGGGCATATACACAATGAGAGATATATTTCTCACTGAGTTTATTCCATATTTTAGAGATTACAGTATTCTTGATGTTAGGGTTAATGTGATTTGCAGAATTAATTACCCATGTGTAGTCAATATCAGGATTTACTGTAAACCTAGCAAAGTAGTTAACCATCCCTTCTCTTTCCAATGGTGACCAACTGGTCTCTTTGCCAACTTACCTTCAGGTGGTGTTTGAACTTGAAGGCCTTGCCACACTCATCGCACTTGAACCGTCTCAGCACATCGGACTCCTGGTGAGAGATCATGTGTCTTTGTAGGCGATGGATGTTCGCAAATTTCTTGTGGCACACCGAACACGGCTGAACCAAAAAATTAGTAAAGCAATTAGTAACTAATGTCTTTTAAGATCTTGTGTCAAAATTTCTAAAATACAATGTTCTCAATGGTTATGTGGAGAAATTTTTCTTCACAGGGTGCTTGGCCTCTTCAAAAGGGGTTATGCCCCCTATGGAGAAAAATTTCTCCACAATTTACACAGTGTATAAATATATAACTTTATTTTGAATTAAAGTAGACTTGACAGTTAGAGGCAACACATAATGAGGTTTCAAGTCTTAATCAAGCCTGTACTAAAAGCAAAAGTACCATTTGACAGTTGTACAGATTAATTTGCTAGTACACTAAAGCTAGGAAAACATAATAAAGATTGTCAGGATATTTCCAAGAACATAGTAAATTACATAAAATCCAGTTTTCCAGTCCTTAAATACTTCAAGTTCATCAGAAGCCATAGAAAACCTAATGCTCCTAGATAACACGAGGAACTTATTATGATAGTTTAGAAATACAACTTCATGAGCAGGATATGATTAAAAATGTACACTATTTTTGTGATAATGCATATTTACATAAAATAAATAAATTTCCCATGTCTTTAAGTGCAATACACTTATTAACTACTACAACTTAACTAATGTGTACAACTACTTAAACAGCAGCATGCAGTTTATAATGAACTGGATTTTAAAAATAAAACAAAATTAGGGATATTATATACTAAAGGAGCAATGGAGAAACTCTGAAAGGTGGGTTGTTTGAATGTGCATGGGTACAGTACGGAGGTGAGGAAAAAACTGATTGTGAACGTCATAAATGAAAAGAAGCTGCATTACCTTACTCGAAACAAAACAAAGTTAAGGGGGGGGGTTAGAAGAATTTTAGTGAGAGGTGTAAATAGGATTAGGTATCTGAGAGAATTAGAGCTAAGGAAGGAGGAGCGGTACATATATTAAATGATCAATTATGGAAGTATGTAAATTATTCACCTCTGAGAGAGAGAGAGAGAGAGAAAATGAGAGAATGAGAATGTGTGTGTGTGTGTGTGTGTGTGATTGATTGATTGATTGATGACTGATTGATTGATTGATTGATTGATTCTGGGAAATTTTATGGGTTAAGAAAGTTTTAAACCAAGGTAAAAAATAACTGTTTAAGGGGACCTAAATGCTAAATAAAGTGGGAGAAACCCTTGAAGAGAGTGTAGAAAAGTAATTTTGGGGTGCCAGGGTAAATGATGGATACAAAGGTGTTTGTAACAGGTAATACATGCTCTAGGAAAAAGATAATTAATTATACGAGATACAATATAGGGAGTGATGATAGCAGTTTTGTTGGACTCTGTATTAGTTAATAAAAAGTTGATAAGTTCTATCTAGGCTAGAATACTGCTGCACACTAACAGCGCCTTTCAAGGCAGGTGAAATTGCTGACTTAGAAAATGTACAGAGAACCTCCACAGCACCCATAAGTACGATAAAATGCCTAAATTACTCGGAAAGGTTGAAGTTTCTCGACCTGTACTCCCTGGAATGCAGGCGGGAGATACATGCTTATATATACTTGGAAAATCCTAGAGAGATTAATAAAAAATTTGCACGCGAAAATCACTCCCTACGAAAGAAAACAACTCAGCAGGTGATGCAACATCCCCCAAATGAAAAGCAGGGGCACCACTAGCACAATAAGAGACAACACAATACGTGACAGGGGCCCAAGACTGTTCAACTGCCTCCCAGTTTACATAAGAGGGATTACCAAAAGACCCCTGTTTGTCTTCAAGAAGGCTTTGGACAGGCACCTACAGTACCAAATCAGCCGAGTTGTGGTTTGTACATAGGTTTACATGCAGCCAACAGTAACAGCCTGGTTGATAAGGCCCTGATCCATGAGGCCTGGTCACAGACTGGGCTGTGGGGGCATTGACCCCTGAAACCCTCTCCAGGTATAGTAAGTATGAGGTAGATGGAGTACAAAGAATGTCATCAGTAGGTACGAGAGAAGTGAAAGTTTATAAGCTAAAGGAAGAGATGGTTAAGGTAAGGTATAAGTAACTACTGGGAGAAAGGTGGACTAGAGAGGAGTACATGTATGTGGGTAGTGTATGTGAGCAGTGTGTGTGTGTGTGTATGTGGGTAGTGTATGTGGGTAGTGTATGTGGGTAGTGTATGTGAGTAGTGTGTGTATGTGGGTGTGTGTGTGTGTGTGTGTGTGTGTGTTGTGTGTGTGTGTGTGTGTGTGTGTGTGTGTGTGTGTGTGTGTGTGTGTGTGTGTGTGTGTGTGTGTGTGTGTGTGTGTAGTGTGGGTAGTGTGTGTGTGTGTGTGTGTACTCACCTAGTTGTACTCACCTAGTTGAGGTTGCGGGGGTCGAGTCCGAGCTCCTGGCCCCGCCTCTTCACTGATCGCTACTAGGTCACTCTCCCTGAGCTGTGAGCTTTATCATACCTCTGCTTAAAGCTATGTATGGATCCTGCCTCCACTACTTTGCTTCCCAAACTATTCCACTTCCTGACTACTCTGTGGCAGAAGAAATACTTCCTAACATCCCTGTGATTCATCTGTGTCTTCAACTTCCAACTGTGTCCCCTTGTTACTGTGTCCAATCTCTGGAACACGCTGTCCACCTTGTCAATCTCATATTGTTTGTCCACCTTGTCAATTCCTCTCAGTATTTTGTTTGTCCATGTCCCCCTACCTCTTCTGTCCTCCTGTGCCGTCAGGTTGATTTCCCTTAACCTCTCCTCGTAGGACATACCTCTTAGCTCTGGGACTAGTCTTGTTGCAAACCTTTGCACTTTCTCTAGTTTCTTACGTGCTTGGCTAGGTGTGGGTTCCAAACTGGTGCCACATACTCCAATATGGGCCTAACGTACACGGTGTACAGGGCCCTGAACGATTCCTTATTAAGATGTCGGAATGCTGTTCTGAGGTTTGCTAGGCGCCCATATGCTGCAGCAGTTATTTGGTTGATGTGCGCTTCAGGAGATGTGCCTGGTGTTATACTCACCCCAAGATCTTTTTCCTTGACTGAGGTTTGAAGTCTCTGGCCCCTTAGACTGTACTCCGTCTGCGGTCTTCTTTGCCCTCCCCCAATCTTCATGACTTTCACCTTGGTGGGATTGAACTCCAGGAGCCAATTGCTGGACCAGGTCTGCAGCCTGTCCAGATCCCTTTGTAGTTCTGCCTGGCCTTCGATTGAATGAATTCTTCTCATCAACTCCATGTCATCTGCAAACAGGGACACCTCGGAGTCTATTCCTTCCATCATGTCGTTCACAAATACCAGAAACAGCACTGGTCCTAGGACTGACCCATGTGGGACCCCGCTGGTCACAGGTGCCCACTCTGACACCTCGCCACATACCATGACTCGCTGCTGTCTTTCTGACAAGTATTCCCTGATCCATTGTAGTGCCTTCCCTGTTATCCCTGCTTGGTCCTCCAGTTTTTGCACTAATCTCTTGTGTGGAACTGTGTCAAACACCTTCTTGCAGTCCAAGAAAATGCAATCCACCCACCCCTCTCTCTCTTGTCTTACTGCTGTCACCATGTCATAGAACTCCAATAGGTTTGTGACACAGGATTTCCCGTCCCTGAAACCATGTTGGCTGCTGTTGATGAGATCATTCCTTTCTAGGTGTTCCACCACTCTTCTGATAATCTTCTTCATGACTTTGCATACTATACATGTCAGTGACACTGGTCTGTAGTTTAGTGCTTCATGTCTGTCTCCTTTTTTAAAGACTGGGACTACATTTGCTGTCTTCCATGCCTCGGGCAATCTCCCTGTTTTGATAAATGTATTGAATACAGTGGACCCCCGGTTAACGATATTTTTTCACTCCAGAAGTATGTTCAGGTGCCAGTACTGACCGAATTTGTTCCCATAAGGAATATTGTGAAGTAGATTAGTCCATTTCAGACCCCCAAACATACACGTACAAATGCACTTACATAAATACACTTACATAATTGGTCGCATTCGGAGGTGATCGTTATGCGGGTGTCCACTGTATTGTTGTTAGGTGTACACATAGCGCCTCTGCTCCCTCTCTCAGGACCCATGGAGAGATGTTATCCGGCCCCATTGCCTTTGAGGTATCTAGCTCACTCAGAAGCCTCTTCACTTCTTCCTCGGTTGTGTGTACTGTGTCCAGCACTTGGTGGTGTACCCCACCTCTCTGTCTTTCTGGAGCCCATTCTGTCTCCTCTGTGAACACTTCTTTGAATCTCTTGAGTTCCTCACATACTTCACGGTCATTTCTTGTTGTCTCTCCTCCTTCCTTCCTTAGCCTGATTACCTGATCCTTGACTGTTGTTTTCCTCCTGATGTGGCTGTATAACAGCTTCGGGTCAGATTTGGCTTTCACTGCTATGTTCTTTTCATATTGTCGTTGGGCCTCCCTTATCTGTGCATATTCATTTGTGGCTCTACGACTGCTCTCCTTATTCTCCTGGGTCCTTTGCCTTCTATATTTCTTCCATTCCCTAGCACACTTGGTTTTTGCCTCCCTGCACCTTTGGGTGAACCATGGGCTCATCCTGGATTTTTCATTATTCCTGTTACCCTTGGGTACAAACCTCTCCTCAACCTCCTTGCATATGGTTGTTACATATTCCATCATCTCATTAACTGGCTTCCCTGCCAATTCTCTGGCCCACTGAACCCCGTTCAGGAAGTTCCTCATTCCCGTGTAGTCCCCTTTCTTGTAGTTTGGCTTCATTCGCCCTGGCCTTCCTGCTTCCCCCTCCACTTGTAGCTCTACTGTGTATGCGAAGCTTAAAACCACATGATCCGCCTCTTCACTGGTTGCTACTGGGTCCTCTCTATCCCTGCTCCATGAGCTTTATCAAACCTCATCTTAAAACTATGTATGGTTCCCGCCTCCACTACGTCACTTTCTAGGCTATTCCACTGCCTGACAACTTTATGACTGAAGAAATACTTCCTAACATCCCTTTGACTTATGTGAGTCTTCAACTTCCAATTGTGACCTCTTGTTTCTGTGTCCCCTCCCTGGAA